ACGCCTCGTGGCCTCGGACTCCCTCCCACGCCTCACCGCCTCAGAACCCCTCCCATGCCTCACAGCCTCAGACTCCCTCCCACGCCCCGCGACTCCTTCCCACCGATGGCACAGGCGCCTGCACATCATGTCCACCCCACATCTTCCCAGCAGGCTGAGCATCTATTTGTGTATTTACGGCCGCTTGGGTTTCCTCTTCTGTGGACTACCTGCACACTCTTTGCCCATTTCTTCTACTGGATTCTCAGATTTTTAAAATCAATTCGTCGCCATTCTTTATATATTAGATATCAACATTTGGCACAAAGATTTTCCCTTGGACTCTGACTACAGCACTCCGGGCCATACGAAATATCTCACTAGTGCTCCCCGTGCGTTTAGCTGCCTTACCCCAGGGACTGTAGGTGCACAGAACAGCAGCCCGCTGCATTGCCGAGGGTCTGCCCCGCACACGGCCCCGTGGGCAGGGCCTCGGCCCGGCCCCTCCCTGCTTGGAGCAGGCCATCAGTACTCGCTGACTGAACTGGTCTATCAGGATGGACGAGTTTCTAGAAAACTGACGGCCTCACAGGACGCAGAGGCGCACAGGGTGGCAACAGCGACCTCTCCTCTGCCCCGCCCCCTGGAGCCACAGCCCTCCCGGCAAAGTCCTTGGTTCCGTGTACATTCTTCCAGACCATATGAGTTTTTGCACACTGTCCTACAACTTACATTGTTTTAACTTGCAATGATTTTCTTCGAGACATCTTCAGCCAGTGGATATGACCACTGACTCATCCTTTTGGTCAGCCACAGAGATAGGCCGTGGTCTGGGTGTGGCGATTTAGCCATCTGGTGACACTTAAGTTTCCCACATTTTTGCTATAATTCAGCTCTGAATGCATTCTTAGTAACGTCTAATTGTGCAAGCATTTTTATTCCTGGAAGTGGCAAAATATGTATTTTTAAATTTTTACACATACTGGGAAAATTAGGGAACAGGTGACAGCAGAAATGAAGGCTGAGTGCCCTGCAGGGCCAGGAACTGAAAAGCGTGAGACGTGGAGTCGGTTTCATCCACGTACTGGACACCATGAATCCCTAACTCTGAGCCTTGTTCTGAGGTAACCTAAGACGTCAACATCACAGAAGCTGGGGAGGGGGTAGAGGGAACCACTATTTTTGCAACTTTCCTGTAAATCTAAAACTAGTTCAATACAAAGTTAAAAAAAGGAAGCACACACTCCAGAACTGTCCAAGCAGTCCACGCCTGCAGGCCAGCGTGGCCACTCTCTGCTGTGCGATGAAGCCCTCAGGGTCCCTACCCCAGCGAAGGGGGCTGCAGACGCAAGCCCTGGCTTTTCAGAGTAACACACAGGAAGCATTTCTTAAAGAACTGAAGAAACACGTGTGACCAAATTCAAAGGCACATTTGCCTGACTGCTCACAGGACAGAAAAGCCAGCCAGGCGCATTCTGGAGGGAGGAGCTGCCAGCTCCCACCACCCTGTGCCCGCCGCCCTGTGCCCATCACCCTGTGCCCGCCACCCTGTGACCACCCTGTGCCCGCCGCCGTGCCCACCGCCCTGTGCCCATTGCCCTGTGCCCACCATCCTGTGTCCATCGCCCTGTGCCGCCACCCTGTGCCCACCGCCCTGTGCCCGCCACCCTGTGCCCGCCGCCCTGTGCCCGCTGCCCTGTTCCCGGGTGGACTAAGACTCTCACATAGTCTGGGGAAAATAGGAAGAGGGGACTGCACTCAGGGCATCTTGTGCCCCATGGCTTAAGAGAGCTGGCAGTCTCGGCTTCCAGGGGAACGGCCTGCCCTGAGGTCCACAGACCAAGGGTGAGGAACCCAGAAAGACCTCTGTAGGGCCCAGAGGCGAGCCCTCAAGGCTGGGGCAGGAAGCTGTGCCCTCCGGCTGGACGGTGGGCAACAGTTCTGGATGCCACACTCCAACCCAGCCCCACCAGCCAGCAGCCTGGAACAGGTGTCGGCTCATCCGCGGTGGACAGGGATGCATGGGAGCACCACCCGCCCCAGGACCGGACGAGGGCCTCACCGCACCGGCGTGCGCGTACCGTGCTCCTCCGCGGAGGCAGGGGTCTGCTGAGCTCCTCCTTTCTCCTCCTCGTCCTCTGGGCTTGCTCTCTCCACTCCTGCAGTGCCCTTCTCTCTCTGGAGAAAGGGAAGTTAATGCCGTAAGTTACAAGCAGCGTCAAACCAAGGCTATGTGATTTCTGTCACTTTACAGCGTGTGGTGCACCTGTCTCCCGGAGGACAGGTTGGGGGTGGGCACGCCCTCTGGGTGGGAGTCCGAACCACAGCCTCTTCCTCTCCACACGTCTGGGCAGAGCCAGGAAAGCTGGCTTCCATCCCGAGGCTCCGTGTGTTGGTGCTGCAGGCAGTGTCTGACACTGAGGCCCAGCCCCACCCCGTGACCCAGGAAAAGGCATCAGGACCCCTTCCAGGGAAGGGCGCTGGCGGGGGCTGCCATTGCAGGTGCTGCACGAAGGGCGGGGCTGCCTGGCTGTGGGTCTGTCCGCGGAAGATCTGAATGCCTGTTCCTAAGTCCCTTCCTTCAGATACTTGAATTTCACTTTGAACAACGGCATCTTCGGGCTCCCTAGTCCCGAGCCAGTCACATGTTCCCTCCTCACAGCCCGTCCCAAGGGCTGTGAGCATCCCGAGTGACGCCCAAACCGGTGCCAGGCTGGGCTCCTCGTGTGTGGCTGAGGCGGGATGAGGTCCCCAAGAGCCCTTGCTCAGGCCCAGGCTCCACCCCGGGAGGCTACATCTCTAGCATGCAGCCACCTGCCTCCTGAGCCAACCCCGCAGTCGTCCACGGACTCCTGCGGCTGGTACCCCTCACCATTCTCTCCCCAGATCTGGCCTCCTCTCGTCTCTCCCATCATCATCCTGGACGCCTGCGCCCGGCTCCGCTCTCCTTCCTTGCGGTCGCAGCAGCTCAGCTCTCCTGGGCTCCACCCGGCCCACAGCCCACCTCTGACCACCTTCCTGCTGAGGGCTCCATCCCTAGTCAGTGCTGCCTGGGATCAGAGCTTGGCCCAGTCCTCCCTCCAGTGCCACCTCAGGACACAGGTGGTCTCAGCAGCCGCCTCGGGGGAGGCTGTGTGCTGCCCTGCCTGGGTGGGTCCCAGGCTCCAGCCGCAGCCAGCTGGTGCTCCCCGTGCCCCCTCAGCACCCTCGGCACTGTGTGTGCGCTGGCCCTGTTGCACACTCCTGGCCGGGTCCTCCGCTTGGTGTCACCATCTCCTCGTCACGCCTTGGGAAGCAAAGGGGTGACACTGTTCACAGGGTGATGGGAAGGGGGCCGCTGTGCTGGGTCTGGGCCCTCAGGACAGGCCTGCCACGTTGCTCATTGGGAGGCCACAGGACACGGCTCCGGGCTCCGGGCGGGAAGATAAAGAGAGGGTTCGCTCACTCTTTGTATCCAAGAACTGCTCCTCCACGAAGGTGTGGGACGATGCCTGGGGCCCCAGCCTGGTGTTCGGGGGTTAAGAGTGCCCTTTCTGCTCACTGAAGCTGCTAGGGCCGAGAGCCTGGGGCAGGGGCTGTGTCTGCGGAAGGTCTCACCACACATCCCCTCCATCACAGCCGTGGCCAAGAGTGCGGGTGAGCGGAACTCACACAGGGAGACTCCGGGCGGGGCAGGTGATACCGGAAGAGTCAATGGGAGCAGGTGTCTGGATCGCCCACTTCAGAAAACCGTACCCTGAAATTGGCAGAGCCAAGGCAGGAGTGGGACCCACCTGCAGCAGGGAAGGGGGGCGTCTGCGGGCGGAGGGGGGCAGTGAGGGGAGGCGTCTGCTGGGGGGACACACAGTGAGGGGAGGTGTCGGGGGGGCAGGGTGCACAATGAGGGGAGGCATCTGCTGGGCGCACAGTGATAGGAAGGGGCTGCCAGCCGGGCGCGGTGGCTCAAGCCTGTAATCCCAGCACTTTGGGAGGTCGAGGCGGGTGGATCACGAGGTCAAGAGATCGAGACCATCCTGGTCAACATGGTGAAACCCCGTCTCTACTAAAAATACAAAAAATCAGCTGGGCATGGTGGTGCGTGCCTGTAATCCCAGCTACTCAGGAGGCTGAGGCAGGAGAATTGCCTGAACCCAGGAGGCGGAGGTTGCGGTGAGCCGAGATCGCGCCATTGCACTCCAGCCTGGGTAACATGAGTGAAACTCCGTCTCAAAAAAAAAAAAAAAAGGAAGGGGCTGCCTGGGCACACAGTGAGGGGAGGTGTCTGGGGTGGATGCACAGTGAGGGGAGGTGTCTGGGGGGAACACACAGTGAGGGGAGGTGTCTGGGGTGGATGCACAGTGAGGGGAGATGTCTGGGGGGACACGCAGTGAGGGGAGGTGTCTGGGGTGGATGCACAGTGAGGGGAGGTGTCTGGGGGGAACACACAGTGAGGGGAGGTGTCTGGGGGGACATGCAGTGAGGGGAGGTGTCTGGGGGGACGCACAGTGAGGGGAGGTGTCTGGGTGGGGAGGGGCGCAGTGAGGGGAGGCGTCTGCTGGGGGGATCTGCAGTGAGAGGAGGGGTCTGCCGGGGCACGCAGTGAGGGGAGGGCAGCTGGCGGGGCTGCTCTTGAAGGGCTTACCTCCCAGAGACTGACCCGCCCAGCTCTGCAGAGCCACCCTGAGGGACAGTGTGGGAGGGCTGATGGGTACCCATGAAAGTCTTGCCAGTGCTCCCTGGGCCCCAGCAGCTGTGGCCAGTGGCCGGCAAGACCGGGTCCCACAGTGCTGGGCTTCCTGTCGCAGCCCATGTCCTAGGACAGCCTGAGAGCTCAGTGGCCTCATCCCTGCCCGTCAACATGGCAGCCTGCAGCAGGGGACCAGCTCTGATGGCTTCACCTCATGCATCCTTTTACTGAAGAAAAAGACAACTACAGCGTCTGCCTGGACGTCGGGTGACAGCCATGGATGGTCACAGAATCTGTGTGTTGAACACAGTCCCTGTCACATGGGCCCGAGAGAAAACAGCACACACATGATGGGGTGGCTTCAGGAGGGTTTATTCCTGACGGGAGGGAGCGGGGAGCCACAGGGGTGGTGCGGGAGCTCTGTGCCAGTCAGGGCTGGGCTGCAGCCGCCCACAGGCCCACAGACCAGCCCAGGGAAGGAGAGACAGCCAGAACCCAGAAGGAGGGAGACGCTGGACTCAGCCAGCTCCAGGCAGCTCACAGAGGGGCTGGGTGAGTAAGAACGAGGCCCTCGAGCTCCCTCTCCTCCTTGACTTCCTGCTGGGGGCCCCCACTGGCCAAGGCCAACCACCAAGCGTGGGGCACAGGGGTGCTGTGGCTGCAGTCCATGGCGGCCGGCCTCCTGGGGCCCAGAGAGGGGTGGAGCCAGGTGGTTAGTGGAGCTAGAGGACAGAGAAGACACTAGGACAGCCAGCACGGCGTCCACACGCCTCACAAGGTGGCGGCGCTGGTGGCGGTCACGGCAACACAAGAATGAGCCTCCCTGATGACCACATCAGGGCCTGGGACGCTGCAGGGAAAGTGGGGAGGAAAGGACTGAGGAAGAACAGGACACTAAAGAACAGGACGAGAAAGATGGTGGGTGCTGTGAGGTAGCCAGGGCCACAACCGACACGGGACGGCAAGCCCTGCACCTGCGCCGGCCCACACGTGGGCCTCAGGGCTGCCAACCAGCGAGCCACGTGTGGCACCACCGACCACGAGGGCAGCCGGGCTTCCAGGTGAGAAAGAGCTGGATTCTGGATCAGCACTGGTAAGGGGAGAACTAACTAAAGACTTGCGGCTCCAGGTCACTGGGCCGGCTGTGCGGACCCCCGTCCTGCAGGGACTCACCGTCTCTGCTGCTCCATCAGAGCCTGCTTCTCCCGGAGCTCTAGGAGTGCGGCCGCTCGGCTCTCTTCCAGTCTTTGTGCTCGGATCGCCGTTTGGTATGGTGACGAGAGGTCGGGTAAGATGTTCCTGGAGGAGACCGTCTTCCTTCTGAAATTACAGTGTTTTTAGCTAATACTTAACAAAACCCTGTGACAGTAACTCATACAACACGCGAGATGGAAAAGGAGGGCCTGCGGGTCATCGCTCATCAGGACGGTGATCACGACTAGAAGCTGCAGTCGCCCACAGAGCCCAGAGTCTCCACTGCTGATTTCAGGACATGTTATGCAGGTGTGCGGATGGCAGCAGGACCCCGTCCCCACGCGCCCGCTGCCGGCCAGCTGCCTTCCCAGGACTCTTTACAATCAGCTTGTGAAATGCGAAGGACGCTCGGCCTTTGCTCCTGCAACCGACCTGCTGGAGACCAGTGCTGCACCCTGATCTGACCTGGGTGGAGACGCCCGCAGAAGCAGCAGGGGCCCGGCCAGCAGCTTGCATGGCTGGACGATGCGACATGCCTGGAGTTCAGGTGCACGGGGTGGTGCTGCAGGTCAGAATCCCATTTCTGGGTGATATGGGAGTGGGGGCGGGGCAGGCAAGGCCATCAGAAAGCGCCTGACCTCCATACACACATTCAGGCAGGGTCAGATAATGTGTCCCCCTTGAGGGAAGCTCACAGGACAGCAGAGGGGACAGCCAGGTGCATGGGGTCGCACGGTGCTGGTGATGTCCTCTCCCTGCCCATGAGAGGGGGCTGACAGGTGTGCCCTGGTGTTTCCTCCCAGTGAAAACAGCTGGGGAAAATCAAGCCAGAGATAGAGGCTCTGAACCCAGGGCCGAAGGCCAGCCAGGGTCTAGAACATGACACCTCCTCACCATGAGCCTTGCACTAAAACAGCTTAGGAAAGACAACTAGAAGCTCTGCCTGGTCTTGCCTCTGAAACCTAACACCCCGCCCAGAGGAGAAAGGCCCATCCCATTTCATAGCTGCCCTGGCACAAAGCCTCACACCAGCAGCACATCTTGGGAGGTCACAAGCAAGCATCATGCCTGGTGGCCGCATCCCAGAAAGCTGGCCCACAACCCCTCCCCGCCCCCCGACTGCACGGCCTCCCAGGAGGCTGGCCCCCCAACCCCCGACTGTACGGCCTCCCAGGAGGCTGGCCCGCCCCACACACTGCACAACGCCCCCACCCTCATCTTCCCTGTCTGCACTGGAACAGCAGGGACTTCCCAGCAGAGCAGAAAGGGCAGGCATGGCCTGTGCTCTGAGACAGTGGTCACCTGGGGTGTGTGCTGGGCACTGGTCTTTCCCCTACTGCTTTTGGAAGGGCAGGTGGCCCAGGCTCTCTGGAACACCAGGTTTCCCCTCATGGTCTCAGGGTCCTGAGGAGTGTGGGGGAGCCGCCCCAAGGGAAGGCCTTTAGGATGTCGGAATCGGGCTGGAGCAGTGATGTCTCGTCACACCCCAGCTCCATGTTTGATGACTTCAGAATGCACTTATTCCCTCCCAATATAATTCTGGGATTTCAGGACCAAAGCATTATTTACCTATGATTTTTACATAACATCACTTTTCTTGCACATGTTTTTGACGCCAGCCCTCAGCCTCATAGGCAGGCCTGCGCCATGAGAGTCACCTGCTGTCCCCACCACACCCAGTGCTCCCCAGCCAGAGAACACGGAGCAAAGCCAGCCTCCGGAGCCCCAGACCTTCAGGAAGGGCCACCACCCCCAGCACGGACCAGGGCCATCATCTCAGAGCTTCTCCTTCATACCCATGACCCCATGATAACCCGACCAAGTGGGGAAACTGAGGCCCCGATAATGCATGTGACGCTACAACCACCCATGCTGGAAAGCTGAGGCGCAGAGCGGCTCTCCAGGGCTCACCCTGGGGCAGAGACAGCAGAGGGAGAAGACAACATTCAGGACACACCCAGCCACGGGGCAGGGGCCCTGGCCGAGGCCTCCTGTCAGAGGCTCCAGTTCTCTGCCCCAACTTCCCCAAACAGTCTCTGAAGGCTAAGGTCTCCTATCTAAATCTGACATACTTATCAAATTATAAGTACCATGAATAAGCATACCACAATTCACTAGGATTAACTATTAGAGCTCCTAACAATAAATAAATAAATGAAGGGAGAAGGGGAGGAAAGAGATTTCTAAGTAGCAGCCTCGGCATATTCCTGCCATTTCACCATGTGTCGGTGTGGACTGAGAACATCCCGAGCACGTCGGCGCCTCTGAGACCGCACTGTGGCTGGGGACCTGCGGTGTGTGCGGCTGGGACTCCCTACACTTTAATTTGTGACTAAGGCTTCCAAGGTCTGTTTTGTTTTGAACGTTGGAACCTACAGGACAGCTGAAAGATCAGGGCCATGAACGCTTCGGGCCTCCATGCCGATACCTCCGGGGAGGTTTGGTGCCACCTTGCACCTGCTCATGTTGGCTGCTGCATGGAGCCTGACGGACCCCAGACCACCGCCGCCTCCGAGACATCTTCACCCCCAGGAAGCCATTGTTGTCCCCTTGGCTATGACGACATCCCCCCTTGAGAATGCATGATCTAGATTCATCAATTGTTATTTTGTAGCATAAAGGTTAGCTCAGGAAGTGAGTGGCAGAACCACTGCCTTCCTTTTCCCCAGAGAGCTGCGATTGCACACGCTCCCTTCCTTTTCCCCACACGGACAGCTGCGATTGCACACGCTCCCTTGCTTTTCCCCACACAGACAGCTGCGATTGCACACGCTCCCTTGCTTTTCCACAGACAGCTGCGATTGCACACGCTCCCTTGCTTTTCCACAGACAGCTGCAATTGCACACGCTCCCTTCCTTTTCCCCAGACAGCTGCGATTGCACAC